AGAGGGGGGGGGGGGCACCCTTCCTCTATACCTGATGTTTCAACGCCGCTCCGCCGCTCCTCAGCAAGGGGGAAGCCATCAGAGAAGAATATCGGTAGCCAAAAAACCGTAAGCCAGTGAATTGCGATTTCGGAGTTTTAGCTAGTAATTTCCTCCGAGTACGGTGGGTGAAGAGCTCCTCTGGCAATGAGTATGAGCTTGACGTACCCAAGGCACCGGATTAGTCTCATACATGTGGCTTTGGTGGCGCCGGCATTTAGCACTTCTTCTCAGTTACGAGAATAAGAGTGCATGTGTTGTCATTGGCCGCCCGAGCTAGAAGGGCCGCCCGAGCTAGAAGGGCCGCCCGAGCTAAAAAGGCCGCCCGAGCTAGAAGGGCCGCCCGAGCTAGAAGGGCCGCCGCAAAATGGGCAATCCAGGTATATTAACAGGAGATCGGAATAGTAAAAAAAAAAGAAGTCTGTTAAGCGGATGAGAGCGAAGGATGATCCCGAGTTCAATCCCGGTCGGCACCCTTATTTTTTATCTTTCACATTACATAAAAATTATTAACTTTAAATTCTAAAATATTCAAAATTATTAATTTGATAATAATATTTTTGTTTCTAACAATCTTTTTTTGTGATAATGTATTCTGTGCTGTAAAATTTATCGTACAAATATCTTCCTTATATATTTATTTAAAATTAATTATTAATCATTGGAAATTCTTATATTTATTAATTAATATTTTTATTAATATACACATTCCCTAATAAAAAATAACTTACTTCATTAAAATATTAATCGTAAATATAGCTATAATCATTAAAAAATTGTTGAATTGTTAAATAATATTTATATGATTTTAGTTTAAAAGATAATTTAATAAAGAAAATCTATATTTGAAAATAATATTTTATAATTTTATTTTTAATTTTACAATGGGGCTATCTGTCCCATTTCAGCTTTTTTTTTAAATGCCAAGTTAATTATTCATCAGCAAATTCACGTGATTGGTGATATTAACATAAATATTTCTTGTTCCCTCCAGGCCAGGCGATATCTCGCGAATGCTTTTACCCGAGCTTTTATCGTAAAAACTGCGAAAAACGTACAGAGATATTTTTCGCAAGACTCACCGACTTTTAATAAATTCGCACCATTATGACCATCTGCAAAACGTGCAAATATCGTCCTTTACTGTTCCATTTGTGGAGAATGCATTTCTCATAAGTCTACGATTTATAATTTTAAAGAGAATAATTGTCAGAGTTTCTCAAAATGACACAAAATTAATTTAAAATGCCTATTACGGTCGAAGCTGGATCTTCATTGCTTAAAATAATTCAATCTTGAATTACTAATATACACTATATATGTACTTGCATATATACCATATTGTAGTCTTTTCAAACTACACGCCGAAAAAGCATCTAATATTATGATTTGCAACAAATTTTATTGAAAATAAAATTAATTTTTTTTACAGATGGAATATAATTATATAATTCGTATTACTAACAAAAAAACAGAAAAGTACATTCCCCTCAAAGTTTGATAAATTTTATATTGTGATTTAGATCAAAATACAAGACATTTTTTTCTGCATTCTAAATATTCTAAGGATTTTAATAGAATTGGAATCTACTTCTGTTGGCGTAAATTTTAAATGTGTGTGTGTGTGTGTGTGTGTGTGTGTGCGTGCGCGCGCGCGTGTGTGTGCGTGCGTGTGCGTGCGTGTATGTGTGTGTGTTTAAAATAAATAAAAAAAATACCCAACGACGGTGTAACTTAAGTTACTAATTGTTAATAAAATAATAAAAATAATGTCGTTAATCTTAAAATTGATTCTACAACGAGAAGAACAAGATCCTAATAAACAACTTAATCTACTCGAATTCCACCTACATTTAGATAAAATTAAAGGAACTATTAAATAGTTATTTCAAATATACTTTATATAATACTTTACAATGTATATTTTCGAAAACATTGTCCGATTAAATCTTTTTTTCTTCGGAAACTCAACCGATCTACGAAAAACTGAGGAAGGTAAACAGCCGGACGCGACCTGGTGCAAAAAGTAATCTGGAATCTCCGTTCGTTCGTTCGAAGATCGTTGACTGACGAGTGAAAAACCGACGATGGATATGAGGGTGCAGAGAGTGCATATAAGAATTCCGGAAGCGTTCCTCCGCCTGCCATTGCCTTCCACCAATCGCAACGCTGAGGAAACGCGCTAGAAAACATGCCGGAAACTCGGTCGATGCTTTTTGCGATCGTTCGTGAGATGCGCGAGTCGCGAGAAAAATTACAGCGGCAAATATCAGATTAGAAGTGATAGATTCGTGATTCTAAATAATGACACATATCATTGTCGAAAGATGTCATGCACACAAAATTATAATTCTGCGGCAGTTTTTACATCACATTTGCAGAAAATAATTTCAAGAAGTATTCTTGACTTCAACTAATTAAAGCTTCATAGATGGTCTCTCTTGATGGTGATTACTGTCGGATAATTGATCTAATTTTAATTAAAATTCCGTTCGAATTTTAAGAAAGAAAAAAACATCATATTTTCTAAATATTTGTCAGCATTATCATTAAAAATAAAATCAAATGTTCATAAAACAATCCGAGTAAAAATTGAATAGCATCATTAAACGTTATAATAAACATTCTAATTTAGTTATCATTATTAATATCCAAATAAATATGAAATTACAACATTGGAGCATTTGCAAATCTCGTGTTAACGAGTATCAAATTTATAAGAATTCACACAATATTCACAAAATATTATTAGTTTGTATTATGTGAAAATTTTATTGCAGAGTTGTATCGTTATAAACGATAATAAAATAATAATGAAAAGTCAATGTGTGTGTATATGTATGTGTCTGCGTAACTACTTATCTTACTTAACTCGTCCATAAAGAGATTGCAAATCCTTGTTATATTGATAAAAATTACATAATCTCGTACTATTTCCACATATAATATATAATTGTACCACTATGGACGAGATTAAATCGCCAAGAATACTTAATAAAGTAATAATCCCTATGAATTATGCATGCAATTAATTGTCTCCAATTATCTCGCTGGTAAAACAAAACGTAAAACAGACGGCTTTGCATCCCGTTTTCAAAATTGCAGCACTACGTTACTCTTAGTAACAGCCCGATCCAAAAAATACGATGTAATCCCCAAAGAGTGCACCTACGGTGCAGTACTTTTAACGAATGTACCACTCACCAAAGAGTCCATGTATAGACTAAACGACCAGCTTAACGGACCTTTGGAGAGCGCGCCGGCTTATTCAAGGATTCGACGTTAAGCCGATTCAAAGATTCGAAATCCCGCGTTAGCCGCCATTTCACCTCGATTCGATGATCTAATTTCAAAAGCCAGCCTTTTGTGTTCCGCGTACATACGCTCGCGTGTGTTTGTATGTCTGTGTACGACGATAAATCCACGCTTGAATTTACCGTCGATTGTAAACGTCCGGCAAAACGACGACCCTAATCGTTACGTACGGCGAAGGCGAGTCTACCGTGTCGAAAGCGCTCGTCGAAAGATTACGAGGCTACCCGGTTAAGTTGTTATTACTATCGGGAAAAATGTGCCACGGTTCGTCCAAAGCGCATCTGATCGAATCTATCGATTGCCACCAATTTATGAGAGCGAGATCTAATATGTGTATGTATGTTTTCATGTCCTGCATTTATGGAACATAAATTTACCCCTTCAGACCTGATTTTATTCGAAATCATGTTAAAACATTTTTTTTTATTCCATTCATGCACATTTTAATAAGTAATTCATACTGAACAATTTTTTTCATACTTTGCGTACAATGTACGCAGAATTTGAAGGGGCTAAAACGGATTTCAAAAAAATTTATTGATTAATTGAGAATTTGCATTAAAAAAAATTTTTTTTTTTCTTACAAAAGATCAATGTTTTCGAGCTTCGTAATGGATGCTGTATTCTTACTTCCTGCACTGATCGAAGATTATGCAAATGTTAAATGCCACAATTTATCTTCGTTTTCATACAAAGTTTCAAGCATATTGTGCTCTATATCGTAGTCTTCATCAATTTAGATTCCACTATCTCGTAAGAGTCATTAATTTGGTCTAACGAGCTGTGATTAATGGAAGTGCGTAATAATTGTTAGTTCACTACATCTAGTAAAAGCATTACTTTAGATAATATGGTAAATTTATGAAGTAATATAACGGATACATATTATATATCAATTAAAATCCATTTGTCACTGTTTTATAATATAATATATTGTAGTTACCAATTAAAATAATTCCTAAAACAGATACATAAATTAAATTGTCTGCATCAATCAAACAACGCCATCATTAAAAAAATAATTTATTAATCATTAATAACACTAATCTCAATTTTTCTGTTATCACGATAAGAGTAAAATTTAATTAATTGACAATTTAGAATAATATGAGAAATTCTTTTCAACCACTGACATTATTTTCTAGCAATAAGTGTCTCTTATATGATACATATTGTACATAAAACGCATATTTATCGATAGCGGTTTATTGAAAATTATTTAATAGGTAATCGTTTTATATAAATTGCTTTAAGGACACTCGTATGTATAAATAAACTGGCTTCTCGGCAAAGCGATGCATTACTCTTCCCCGGTCTTCGCTATAACATTCAACGCGTTGCATTTTTCGGTTTTCTCACTAGTCCTAGCCTGCCATTCTTTCGTCTGTTGTACCTTTCCACCCTTTCAGCGTACCTACTCTATTGTCCCCAGACAGTGAAAAAAGCACCTCTCTCTCCTGTATCCAAAGTTTTACCTCGTTCCTTATCTGCAGCTTACGGACCATCGCGTCTCTGCACCCTGTAAGAGCCTGTAGTATGCTTCTATCTCGCGCCTCGCCGTTTTACGCGCACGCACGCATACACGCACACGTGACGGAAGAACGCGGAAATTGCGATTTCGTCACCCACGATGAACAACGACGGCGTCGGTCGTTTATCCGAGAAAAGCTGTATTCGTTCGCTTCATCGAGCACGCTCCGGGATTTATGGTATAACACAAGAGACACCGTTGTGTTGGTGCGCTTATCGGCAAAAAAGCAAAGCTTGTCAATGTGAATCTCGTGAAAAATTTTGCTTGGTACAATTGTATCCCCTAACAGTAAAAAAAACATTATATTTTGTAATAATATGTTAAATTTGTTTAATACAAAAATAATACATATTTAGTTTTGCTAATAATTTGAAGCATTTGAAATTTAAAGCATTTAGAATAATTTTCTTTTTTTTTTTAAATACTTGAAAATAGTTGAAAATAATTCTTACATTAAATACATCTCTATGCTGCTGACTAATATTGACTATTTTATTAACAATCAGGTAATTAATACCAAAATGAATGTTAGTAATATTGAATCTGCATATTATTATAGCTGTAAAATGTGGAATGCGAATAAAGGTCATTTAATTTTACGAGTGTCCTTGTTTTGTGGAAGCT